CCGCTTCCGGGGGCACCACTGTTCTATGGTGTTCCGGTTTGGATTATCCCAGGGCTTCTGAGAGCAATAAGCGCAGAAGCCCTGGGTACGAGGTTGACGAAATACGTGTTGCCCACACAACGCATGCGCAAAATTCCCATTAGTCGAAATCGATGTGCCTGTCAATCAAATCTGATACGTAGTAATTATGCTATAAATAACTTCCAGATTGAATGTTGATTTTATAAATAGGCATGACACTAACGGTTCCTATTGGATATATTGAATATAAGTGATGTTTATGCAAAGGTGCAGCCAACTTGACAAGAGCGAAAATTGGGGGTATTTCAGCGGCCTCTCCTTTCACCCGAGGGACTGCTCGCGGTCTACAAGTTTACGGCATCAATGATATCCTTTCACTGAATTCAGTACGAAAAGTCCGCATCATTTAATTAGACATTTTATAATTTTTCGGCCAACTATTTTTTAAGTCCGGCCGCTTTTTAAGTGGTCTTTCAGAATAAGCAAATTTTAGAAACAAATTTGTTTTTTCCTGGACTATCTATGAGGGATTTGAACTATACACAGAACAATCATTGTTCGTGTAGAAATATTTTTATTTCAGTTTGTGACACTTTTATTTTTTGATATATATTAAATTATATAAATATAAAATATAACCTCCTGCCTCTTCGACCTTTTCAAAGTGTAGTGATGAGAATCAAGAAATTTATCTTATGTGGCCTTACGTGCAAAAATTGAAACGAAGATTTATTTGGTCGAGAATAGATTTGTTTCATGTCGCTTTCAGGCATAATCATATAGAGGGCAAGGTTACGCAAATATGATTGGCTGTAATGAAGAGGGCATTTTTTCTTAATTTAAGGCAAAATTACTTGTACCTGGCTGAGACGCAAGCGCGGGAAGTTTCTTGTTTTAAATAGCAATAAAAACAATGATTCCTCGCTTTGTCGTTGCGGATAATAATGCTGTTAACATGTTATTGAAGAATTACAAACTTCTAGTGAAAACTCGAATACTAGAAAAAGTACAATTTTATGGGTTGAGTATTTAAGAAATCAGAGCAGCATTAAGGAATATTTAACTTACAAATAAATTTTAATTGCTCTCTATCATTAACAAGTTATCGCACAGTTCCTCGTAAAATTAAGGTTTAATTTCACTTGTGTTTTCAAAGTTTCACAAATTGCCCTCGTCGCTTCGCAACTCGGGCAATTTTTGAAACTTTGAAAACAGGCGAAAACAGGCTCCATGCGATTACCTATACTATTATTTCATGGTATTAAAATTCCAATTTTATAAGATATGATTTCAAAATTTCTTTATTAAATCAAGAGAAATGTATCGAAATTTGATCTGTTATTACTACATTCAGGAAGAAATTGTGGCAGTCCTGGCACTCCAAGGAATGGTAAAAAATTTGGTCTTTCTTACACTCTCAATGATGTCGTTCGTTACTCTTGTAATGACTGTTATAAACTAACTGGTGTCAGTTATCGTCAGTGTCTGGCCGATGGAACCTGGAGTGACACATTACCCATATGTGCACGTATGTATTCTTTTATTCTTCTCCATCACTGATCTAAAATTAGGTCAGGATAGAACATCTTTAATTGAATGAGCAGTGCTGTCAGTGCTGTCAGAAGCAAATTGTTACTCGGGGAGTGGGGCTGAATCAAAGGGGTATAGGGGTATGTTCCCCCCTCCCCAAAGTGTTGCGTTTTCGAAGTCTCGGAAGAGCATTTTCCGTGGTTTCTGAGAGGAATTTTTATTAAAGTTGTAAATCCCTTGCATTTAAAAATTCAATATTTTGTAATGCACTTGATGACTTTTTACAACTTCCTCTCCTTGTCTCGAAACAACGTTTGCTCTGTATGCAATCACAAGTATGAATGTGGTTTTGTTCCTATTGATATACAATTTTTTAGCGATTCCCAGTAAGCCTTTCGCGCTTGTATTCGACTTTTCCGTTTTGCTCGGAGACAACCTTAATTGAAATAGCTGTATACACACTATCAATCTAACAACAAATTGTTACGGGTAATATAAGTTAGACAATGTAAGTTTGATTGTAATTACCTGTGAAAGAAAGAAATAAGGTATCAAAAGAAATAGAATACTCATCTCAGCCCTCTCCTTTCCCCGCTTCCAACGGCCCTGATGAGCCAATCTTAAAGCGTAAAAAGGCTACTATAGTAAAAATGTTCACGTTGTAGAAGTCGTGCGTTGGACTTTTAATTGTCTGGACCTTTGCACCCTATGAATTCAAGTTGCGTTTTAAGCCTTCCATTTTTGTGTGCAAATCATTTCTAAAGTAGTGGCTTTTAAAATGCATGCACCCACACATAATTTTTGTGATAAAGATACTAGCGGACCCCAGATTACCCATGCGAACATTTTCGTACTGCACATGTTATTTTGATACAGCCTGCAGTATATTACATAGCTATCTTTTATTCTATAGGAGTGACATGCCCTATACCCAGTCCATTAACACACGGGACACTCAGCTTATCGTCTCAACCTATTTACTGTGGAAGCTATGTTGACTACAGATGTTCAACTGGATATAATCTGAAGGGAGCGAGGAAAAGAACATGTCTTGGAGATGGCTCATGGAGTGGCAACGACCCAATATGCGAAAGTATCTGTACGCCGTCAGCTTATTAATAAAGACACGAGAGAAACTTGCTGAGCTAACCTCCTCGCGTGGCAATATGTTTCTCTCGTGTGTGGATAGTTTTCGTGAGGATTTAACCTCTCGAGGCTTTTATTTGACTACGCTAACCCCTACAGCAAAAGCTGGTTTTACTTAGGCTTTCAGAAAAATATCTATCGTGTTTGATATTTTTCACCTCGCGAGGAAAAAATCTCAACGTTTGTGGATGTTGCGAGGTTCGTGCTTAGCTGCTTGAATTAACTAGCCAATAAAAACCCATAATTTCTTTACGTGGCTTCGGTTAAAATGACGCCAATAGAGGGAAATATACAAACGAAATTATCAAAGATGTTAATGTGTACTAGTTTTCCCAACGTGTGCGGTAAAAATGAATACGGCTAGCTGAGCTAATATCAGGATTTTGGGCTTCTCAACTCGATCTAGACAAGAAGAACAAAATCCATTAATATAGCTGGAAAGAGCATGATCTTAAAATGAGTAAAATTGCAAGTTTGGTTGCAAAATGTTGTAAAATGCAGGATAATATACTCGTGTGAATTTCGCAAATTTTGCATTGGTCACAATTAATTTACTTTCATTTTTAGTCGTGGATTGCGGGGACCGAGGACATCCAAGGAACGGACTAACAACAGCAACTGGAGGTTTCACGTATGGAAATGATGTTACTTTCTCTTCTAACCTTAATTATGTTTTGGAGGGAAGTTTACTTGCAACATGCCAAAGCAATGGGAAATGGTCCAAGAGCCTGCCCAATTGTTTGGGTGAGAAAAATTGTTCTTTAAATATCTATCTTATAATTCTTATTTACGTACTTAATGTATTTATTTTCAATCGACAATTAATTGTATTTGTTTATTTAAAATCCCACCTAGCTTGTTGCTCCATTACTGGTAACCATAAATTAGCACGTACAAATTTTAAATATTATCTATACAAATTACAGACAACACGTTTTCACAAAAAGAGTGGACAATTCATTACACAGATTTTGCACAGATTGTTTTAAGTGTTTTATGTAAATGCCATACATGTGTTTTGCATGCAAGTTCTGGTAAATATATATTAGGTTGGCGTAAATCGATAATGTGGTGGACAGTTGAATGTTCTTTTTTTTTCTTTCTTGGAGATCTTCAGTAAAACCTGGAAAGTTAAAGTGTCAACCTTGGAATGTTGCAAGTTATTTATTGAGCAGTTTCATTATTTTGCCTGGTGAAAAAATGTGATTTTATGTGAATTTTTGTGTCCTCAGGTAAAATCAATTTCTTCAACAGGTAAAGTAAGTCCACGTACTCGTGCCGTAAACGATGGGAGGTTTATTGCATGAAGAATATCTTTATCTCGAATGTCTTTCCGAGTTTCAGTTCGCGTCGTGTTTTCTAAATGAGTCTATTATAAAATTTAACAAACAAATTGTATATCTTGATGGCAATGCTGAAGCTATGATGTTCTTTGTAGAGAAATGCTCAGATCCATCAGGAAACACAAATGCAAATGTGATAGGCAGGAGTTATATCATGGCAAGGAAGTAGAATTTGTCTATCCCAGAGATTCCATTCTTGTTCCTGCAAGTTCTAGGAAGTTGACATGTCAAGATGGACAATGGAGAGGGACGATACCTTCATGCAAAGGTACGATGAATTAGAAGGATTATTACGCGAATAAAACTTGTTGTTGTTCTCGTTATTGAACGTTTAATTATGTTTGTTTGTTTGTTTGTTTGTTTGTTTGTTTGTTTGTTTGTTTGTTTGTTTGTTTGTTTGTTTGTTTGTTTGTTTGTTTGTTTGTTTGTTTTGTTTGTTTGTTTGTTTGTTTGTTTGTTTGTTTGTTTGTTTGTTTGTTTGTTTGTTTGTTTGTTTGTTTGTTTGTTTGTTTGTTTGTTTGTTTGTTTGTTTGTTCGTTCGTTCGTTCGTTCGTTCGTTCGTTCGTTCGTTCGTTCGTTCGTTCGTTCGTTCGTTCGTTCGTTCGTTCGTTCGTT